ATATATATATATATATATATAGAGAAAAAAAAAAAGAACGTGCCAAAACGGAGGACGAATTCGTCTTACCTTCTTGATCGTAATCCACCTCGTGGGTCGTGCTGAACACACTGTGCGCATCGTTGAGGAATTTAGTCGAACTGTCCATGACGAGCTTGTGCGTATCCAACACCTCTTCCTCGAGTATCTGCAGAGCGGACACCGCCTCGTGGAAGGTATAGAGATCCTGCGAGAGCTCGCCTTCCTGCGAAAAAGAGGTCCGTTCGTGCCAAGTGATAACGATTGTTCCATCTTCACCCGCCCGAGAGTTCACAAGATCCGGTATAAACTGGATTTTTGTGTCTATCATAACTTCAACACGTTGACTGCCGCGCTGATTAATCATACGATCGTCGGAAATTAAGTCACTAAAGGTGTCACGCACAGTAAAGAAATATAATTCAGAACGCATATACCTCTTACTTCGTTTTACTGGCTCTCTACAGCCTATTTTGTAGATGCAATTAATTATATTTGATACACAACTTAACCAGACGTTGTGATATCACAGCGCCGCGGCCACCGGTGGCTTTCAACGTGTTAATGTCGTTTTAATGTTCTATGTATGCATCCGCGAATGCAATTGCTTACATTGAGCGACCGAAGCTGCGCCAAATCGCTGTCCGACAGCACGCTATTGTTCGCCTGCTCCTCGATCTTCAGGCCCCGTTCGTCGTCCGTCGGTGAAGCCTTGATCTCCGTAGGATCGGTCGCCGCCAATTCCTTCACCCGATCCGCGTATCTCAACGTGTTCAGGGAATGCTCGCAAGAACTCATCCCGGGACTAATCATCGCTATCTGTAAAAGCAGTACGCTCGCTCGAAACTAAAGCTCTCTCTTTCTCTTTCTGTATATTCCGTAAATATTTCTGCGTATATTTCGCAATAGTGTAACAATAAAATAACACCTACCATGCACGTTTTTGATTTTTCGCCAATGAAACTGTCCCTCAACACTTGAGTCAATTTGCTCGCCCTAAAAGGCAGATGCGTACCTTTGCGACTCAACGCGCGTATACATTCTTTTAACGCTAATAAGGATTTATTAATCTCAGCACCTTCCATTCCTGAAAATTCAAAAGATGGTTATCGATCACGTGACGTTTACCAAGCACACCTGAACGATCGGTCACTTCGGTTAAAGGTTCATTTACTCACGAGTCTGTCTGTTAGCGGAGGATGTATCGGCACCCCTTTCGTTTCCAGCAAGATCAATGAGGGAGAATTTCCCGTGCACCTTGTGCGTGCCCGGAATGCGCGCTATGATTTGGAACACCGCGTGCGATCTAGAGGAGTTGGAATTGGCACTCGTCTGGCCGCTCGTTCTGGCACAGTTACCATGCTGTATCAATTTTAACACCTCGTCGCAAGTCTCCACCACCTTCTCCGTTAATCCGACTATTTGCACCTATTGGCCATCGCGGGACAGATTTCGGAATATTAAGACGAAGTTATGAGCAATCGTCAAATCGTGTCTTTAATTCTAGTACGCCAGCATAAATCGTTATCAATTGACGTGAATGTATCTTTTCGTAGGATAAAAGACAACGAGCGACAAAGCAAATAAGATTCTACGTAAGATCAAGTAAGAACAGAAATCGAATAATTATGAGCAGCGTGAAGCTTTGAAAGATTACTTTTTTTTAATTTGCACGTCTCACGTGCTTCGCAGCACGAAATTCGGCGGATACGCACAGGAAAACATAACAAATCCGAGGTACAGGTGTGTAACGGAAGTTTGTAGATACGTTACAAACTAACGAACCATTTATGCATTATATATTTTAGCTGCACGCCAAATCGAACTAAATTTCACTCAAAACAGTAATCATCAGTTATTATTAGTGTTAATTGCCATTAGCAGTATAAAATTATATATAAAAAAAAATAGGCAATTAGAACTTCGAAATACAAAATAAGGCAAAAACTATTACCACCTTGAGCATCTTCGGAAAATAAAAACATTTTATTAACTAAATAAAAATAAAAAGAAGCTTACATTTGCAGAAGGTGTTAGAAGTGTGACGACCATTGGTGTTAACGCAATTTCTGTTGAATTAATGTTTCTCCTATTCTCATATTTCGAAAATATTCAAGCTGATTCATTGCTGATAGCGATCGCCTCACATTTCGAAGCCTTAATGTCTATTTCACCAAACGAACCTGTTGCTTGCCGTCCTCCAGGACTCTGAGCTTCTCCTTGTCCGCGAGCAGGTCGAACACCTTGCCGGAGTAGATTTCAAAAAAGCTAGCGGAAATGACCAGATTCAGGGGCCGATACTTCGCCAGTTTCAGGCACTTGAACACGTCTTTGGCAACCATGGCGTAAATGCCCTTCTTGCAGTCCTGCGTCTTGCCGTTGAAGTCACCGCCCATGGTGTGCGTTTTGCCGCTGCCGGTCTGGCCGTATGCGAAGCACGTGGCCATGCCGCCCTCGAAGATCGTCTGCACCAACGGCTTCGCCGTGTACTTATAGACTATCTCGTTGTTGCACGTCTCGTCGAATGCGTAGTCGAATCTGAAGATCTGGTTCTCGAGATACTTGGTGAGGTCGACCTTCGCCTTCGGCTCGTGCACCACCATCTGATCCTTGCTGGGCACGCTGATCACGTCGATCTCCTTACGCGCGTGTTCCTTCTTGTTCAGCGGACGTTTGCGGACGCACACGGTGATCTGGTGATCCTCCACGGCGTCGGTTTCCCGTAACGGCCTGAACTCTATGCTGTGCTGGTAATCTCTGCGTGGGCGAAACGGGCAAATCTCGATGAACGAACACCGTGATCAATATATTTCTTTTTCTTTTCTTCTTAATTATATGAATTCTTACTTAATAATTATTCATTCTTAATTATCAATCGCGAAGAAACTTCCGTGGATAGCGCGTTAGAAGGAAAACCAACCGCGATGTTCTTCGCGGAGAACGCATAATTGCAACATTAATAATGAATAATTATTAAGTAATATTGCTATAATAATTGTGATTATATATTATTATATATAATATTACGTAACTATACTTCATATTACTAATACTTGATTTTATATGACTAATATAATTGTCAATCCGACGAACTTTCATCTCGGATATTAGTAGTAAATTTTCAGGCGTGTGTTTCCGGAGAACGAAGTGTATAAAATAAATGCGATCAAGGCGAACCTTATCATAGCGAGGAACTCCCAATTCGGATTGCCCGGGTCCAGATTCATCAGAGCCTCCTTCTCCTCCTTCAATTCCGCCTGTCGTTGCCTCCTCTCCTCTCTGTTCTTCTTCAGTCTCTCGACTTCCTTGACGACGTTGGATCGCCTACTTCGACCATTCTCCACTTGGGCCTGCTGCTGTTGCTGCTGCTGCTGCAGCTGCTGTTGTTGTTGCTGCTGCTGCTGCTGCTGTTGCTGCAGCAGCTGCTGCTGCTGTTGCTGCTGCTGTTGGGCCTGCTTCTGCTTGTTCTGCAGCGGGGTCGCCAGGTTGTATTGCGTGACCACCGTCGTCGGTGTCGGCGGTATGTTCTCGAGTTCCCGACGTCCTGTCAGTCCGGAAATCGACTCGCCGTGACCATTCACGGACGTGGCTGGTGGCATAATGTTCGTCGGGCGGCCGACCGGCCGTGCCAATTGCCTATTCGAGCTCGCTGAAACACCGGTACGAAGATTAACGCCAACTGCAGTGTCCCCTTTAGCCTTGGTGGTCGGCATGTAAATCGCTCAAAGGATACGAATTGATCCTCGATTCCGCGCGACTCGTCCTGCTTAGTCCTTCCTTTTCCCGCAACGCGAATCTAATCGCTCCGCTTCCGACAATCGAAGCAATACGGACTGTACCACACGTGATGATACGATATTTTGGCAATTTTTCCAAATTTTGAACACAGCTGCCGCGCGAGAATCTCTATCTTTATTTCTCTAGTCTCACGTAAGTTAGAAATCGATCGATTGTATTCGAGAATTTACGTCCGATCGTCAGTGGAAATGTTAGCAAAAAACAAGGGGAGAAATCTCGGCAAGAGATCGTCGTCATCTGACGCACGAGCGTTACCGGCTACATCGTCTTCGAAGCGCAGCGTCAGGATCCGCTTGTCAGCGCCGGCGACGTCTGTCTTTTCGCAATCGCGGATTTTGTTTTTCCTACGGAAGCAATAGGCCAACGGATCGAATCTCATGGCACCGTCCGTGAGCGGGCGAGCACGCGATCGCGGACACACGAAATCTCTTGAATTTCTTAAAAACCGATCGCAGCCGACCTCGTCGACCGGCGAGAGAATTCGACTCGGACGTTTCGCCGGGAGGTGCACACACTGCCAGCCACACTGCCGGTGTGTGGTAGCGGCGCTGGATAGATCGAACGACGGTGTCCGAGAGAGGGTCAGCCGGAGGAGCGCACCCCCTCGCGCGCGCGAGCGAGCGAGCGAGCGAGAGAGCGATGGTACACGTCGTCGTCGTAGAGCATTCCCGGCGGGGTCCTTGCCCTTGTGCCGGCCTACCGCGAATATCGATAGTCACGGTTCAAGCCGAGCACACATGTTAAGCGAGGCCCACATCGTTAACTTCGCTTATCTAGGTGAAACGACGACGATAGCGCACACATACAAACGCGCGTACACACACCCCCACGTGTGTCCAACCACGAAATTGACTTATCGAACGCGGGGATGTTCGACCGTCACCACGCTTATCCGCGAAATCAGAAACTCGTGTGAGGCAACGCTTATCGATCTCCCTACTTCGCACCTCGAGATACGCCTCGTCATGTTCGCATGATTTTCTCCGAGGAAACTTCTTCCGCCGATCCGCGCGCGATTGGCCTTGCTTCGTGCACGGCCTACCAATCCGAGGAGGGTACACTGAGAGAAATTATAATCCTAAGAAGAAAGGACTTACGGGCCCTTAGGAGCCGAAGCTCAGATTTTAGAGTGACATTTTAATATTAATGTCAATATTAACGTGTTTGTGGGGAGTGCTTGTGCGTGTATTAACGCACCGCCGGATTATCCTCCGGTCTATACACGCGAAGAATCACTACATGACAAGCATATTCCTTTTATTCCCCCAATTAATATAATTTCACTTATTAACCCAATCCAGTATTTATATAAATAGTGAGCGTTGCGAGAAATACTATGTCAGTCGAGAATCGACACTGAAATGACGTAGTTTTTATGAAAAACGTAAAATTATTATTATAGATATTATAGAAAAATTGCAGTGTTACTTTCGGCGTCAGCTGTACTTATAATTTTTATGAATTTACCCACAAAGATAGTAGTAGCAATATACATTTAAAGTTACTATCGCTGATACTGTGGTAACATTTATCAGAGAATAGTTCTCTTGACTATAATTCTTTCATGATGATGATTATAGTAGTTATAAATGTCATATTTTTCTCTCAGTGTATGATCAAGTGGCGTTTTTAACTACGATCCGTCTTCGGAAGATTCGTCGTCCGACCGAGACCTCCCGAAGACGCGAAAATACAGACTTCGCCGGTCAATCTCGCGATTCACGTTCACGAAGCACACGACAAATAAAACCGTCGCGACGTTTCGTCTGTCGTCTCGTTCAAGTTTGTTTAACAAAGCGCGGCGGGATAGACGAGGACAGAGAAAGAAAATAGGAATGGGACGCCTCCCTCGTCGCTACGTACCTTTCACTGGAATCGACGGCCTGGTGGAGTGCTGAAAATAAAGAAAACAGGCTACATTGAGTCGCTTGTGTGATTGGAGAGCGATCAGTTGTGGTGTTGTCGCTTCGTGCAATCGTACTGATGGGTGTTATTGCTGACTTACATCTAGAGGGGTGCTGTAAATGAGAAAATCAAACGGTGCTTCCTTTTTCGAAGCCGAGAGAGTGTATGATACATCATTCGCCGGGGACGACGATGCAGATCGTCGATCCGACACCTTCTCGACCGCGCGCGCCGGGGCGCGAGATAAGACGCGGTTTTTCATCGACCGCCCATGTTTAATCCGGACGTACCACTCATACGTTCCCGAGCGCGTATCGATCGCGTGTAACCGTACAACCAGCGCGGTTTTCGACCTAGTCCCGGTATAGTCCCCGGTCACGTCGCGCAACTTTTCACTTGGAATTCCCCCTCGCGAAGCCGCGCGTCGATCTCGGTCCCGCGAACGAAAACGATAGGGAACGCCGTCGCGTGGCGAATTCTCGGATTCCGAGCGGCTAGCCGCTCGCTGAAATATACGCCTACACAGTCGAGATACTCGTCGTATCGAAGCGAGTGCGGAAAGGGTGAAAAGAAACGTTAGTGACAATGTGCTCTCTTAGTGACCGGTGTTCCGGTGTTCCAAGCCGATGTTTAGGCTCGTGGTGGAGAGAAGGTGCGAAGAAGCAGCTCGTTGAGCATTTTCCGCTCGATAAAGCGAGGATGGGGGAGGGGCATAGGTCAGTATTCACAGTCCGATCCTATGTTTAACCCTTAAACCGGAACATAATTCTTCAAGTGATTTCCTGGAAGACTGATGCTCTCGTTAAAACACATTGAAACAATTTTTTAACGTACAGAATGTTTGTAATATTTTATAAAATAATATTTTACCGGTACCAGGAAAATATGGGCAAACGTGGAAACTATATCCGCCCGACAGACGGATACTCTCGTTACAAGGCCATGACCTTAATGGAATATTTATTTTCGCACTTCATTAATTTTTTTTTCGAGAAAGACAGTAAAACCAATTAAAACGATTTTTAAATATTCGTAATGTTTCATAAAATAATATTTAACTGGAATCAGAGAAATACGGGCAAAAACGGAGACTCTACCCGCCAGACAGACGGATGGTTCCGGCTTAAGGGTTAACATCGTCTCGAGTTCACCTTCAGATGCTCCGCAGTCAATGAAACGATCCTGAAGATGAATTCAAGACGACCTTAAATATAAAATCCGACTGTGAATACCGCCCTAAGATCGAAGTAGCCGGTGGAACTACCACGTGGCAGCCTCGATGCTCCCGCGGAATGAGATCCCGTAAAGCGCGAATTATCCTCTGAAAACAGTTCTCGGCCAGCTTGTCTGCGGATTTACACGATATCATGTTCCGTAGACACGTCGAGTATTTATGACACACGAAACGTCGCGGAGTTACAACGCGCTGCTATTTCACTGCGATTACAAGAGGACTTCTCCAGAAAGAGGAACATCGCGGGCTGCCAACGGACCGAGCGAGAAGCGGTCTCTCGCGGAGTTGGAACGATGAATCCCCGAGCAACTGAATGCCCCGGTCACCCCTTTTGTAATGCGCCCCTTCGAGCGCATCGCGATTCGAGTGTGTAATAAAAATTCGTGACGGGAAATCGCAAAATCGGCGTCGTAAAAACTCGGTCGAGCGCTCCTCGAAGACGCTAAGATCGGCCCGCCGACCCGCCTGGTGAGGTAGTTTTCGTTGTGTTGCTGCTGCTACATCGTTGCGAGAATGATTGTGTGTGTTTGTTAGTGTATTAATGTTTGCGGTGATGGGGACGGGGGCGGAGGGCGAGGGGTAGGAAGAGGTGCGCGTTACCGAGAGACGAGATGTGACTCGTACAGGAAGCGTTGCGGATGCGAGGCCGTTTCTTGCGGTGTGACCGCCATGACGTCCGAGGGAGCCCTCCTCTTGATTCTCCGACTCGTCGACCCCCTCGTCCTCCTCAGCCGAGGAGTCCCGCTCCTTAGCGGGGTACGGTGAAATCAAGCCCGGTTTTCGAAAGCGTCATTGTGAGTAATTGGTCGGGAGTGGTTGGACCGATAGATACCAAACGATAGATAGATATTAGAGATAACAAACAATAGGGAAATAAAGATCGATCGACGGAGCGAGCGAGGGGATCAACGAGGAGGAGAGTCGTCAAGAAAGACGGCAATTTTGCGGAGAGATGAGCGATGGCCGAGACGACGTGTGAGTGGAGTATTCGAGATCGGTTTGTTATCGACCCGGTTTTTGTCGCCGGGAGGGGCGGTCGGTGGTCCATCGTCGACGAGGTCACGAGGTCCGTGATTATGAGCAGCGTCCATGGAGGGAAAAAAAGATGTTACCATGTTAGTAGCGGGAATGACGCGCGAGATTCTGTGATTTTTGTGGTTTTCATCGGCGTCGGCGTGTCTCTACGAGGGAAATTCCTGAGACGCTTCGTAAGTTACACTCCCGGGACGCTCGGATCCTGCTGGCCTCCCGGGTCCTAGCATTTTTTTTTCTCCGGATATACACGCAATTGGATAAATCCCGCGCGAAATGTACGTTCCCCTCGATAATTTCACGAATTTATCATCCCGTCCGCGCTATATTCTTCGTCAATTAAACCCTACGTCGTTTAACTCCTCAGTAAATTAATCCTACATTGATTAATTCTCTGTGAATTAATCCCGATAAATTTATCCTTAACATAAATGTGGCCCCGAAGTCTCGAGTTCCGGCAGACCGGAACTCAATCTCTTAACTTTTAATCACGTGCAATTCGAAAACCTTGATTCCCGAGACACTCTATATTGCATATGGCGTATAATCCAACACACACCGTGACTGGTATTACATCCTTTCCGAAGAGGAACAATAATTATCTCGAAAGCGCATCCTCGTGCTCCGTAAAATCCGTAGAAATTCCGTAAAAAATCGAAGCAACGGGCGAAAGAACGCACGATGAATAAATTCCGCGGCTGTGCAGTCGCGATTGTTTGTTTCGGCGAGCCACGTGTCAGAAAAGCCGGAGACATAACGCGATCGGATGATGACGCGCCGTCGTCGTCGCGTTAAATTGAAACACCTGCGGCGAGAAACCGATTACACGAGTGACGGGGAGAGTAGTCCTACCTGAAAGACGTACAGGTACTGGAACATGTCTACCGCGGTGTAAACGTCACGAGACGCGGGATCGGATTATTCTTTCCATATTAGGAGCGAGGTTATTCCACGTAGCCCGGGCAACCGGTAAACAGAATTTGCCGGCCAGTCGATGATCGACCGGGAATTTATGCGGACACACAATTCGTTTAAACCCTCTCGCGCAGATTTAACTTTCCTCGCAAAGTGGCACGCGCGCGATCAACGTCCGAATGATTCGCGAGAATCTCGCAAATTCGACCGTCTAAGCAATATATTTGAATTATTACACACAGATGTGCAAGCAATTTCCGGCTCTCACAGTCTCGATATAAATTTGAATCGAGGAAATGAAATTGCTATTGATTTTTTAATGCGTATCTTTCAGAGATGCGCTTCGTCTTCGAGGGCTCTTTGTGCGGAGACATAAAATAAATAAAAAGAAAAAATCTCCCCCTTATGTATCATTTTTCGTTCTTTTTCCTTAATTTTTTCATCCTGTATTGCTAAAAGGATTAACCCGTGAGCAAATGAATAAAAGAAGAAAAAGGAATACGAGGCTACGACGGGTTTCGTGTCTCCAGGCATTCGGTCGGCAGTCGGCACGGCGAAATCCCGCTGACTTGGAAACGATTCAGAACGCGTCGCTCGACGCCGGTATTTTGACAGGGATCAATATGACGTATACGTACCCTCGCTTTCGAAGACGCCAACATGTGGTTGTTCATCTGTGACGGCGGCGCCATCATCTTCTGGCTCAGATCGCGATTCAGGGCGAGAATCGCGTCGATCTCCACCTGAAGCAGGCAAGCAAAAGCAAGAAATCAAACATTTAGACTGCCGATCTTCTCATCTAGCAAATAATTCACATTAGCCTCCACGAAACGTGGCTCGCGATCCCGTGATGGTCGCTCGGTGGAGATTTTCTCAGGAAAATAACGGCGATTACCTTGCGACGTGGAATGAGACTCGGCTGAAGCATTTTCTCGGAAACCAACGCGTGTCGCGCGGAGAGAATTGCAAAGAAACACGAGCAAAATTCGAAAATCCCGCTAATGCCCCGGAAAAACTCGCTGAAGATAAAGATGCCGGACGCGACGATCGCTGCGGATATCTTTTTCCTTCGGACCACACACTCTACGCTTTATTTTCTCTCCGGTAGGAAACGCGAAGTCGTGATGACGGAGACTTGTTATATTCTGCGAATTGCCGCGTTAAGGATAGAGACGTATAATTATCGCGCGTACGATTGACACGCGATAAAAACGCCGGTTTTTTTTCACGAACTCTATCCCTCGCGACGTATTGCGTTACGTTAACTTTTTGCAAAAGCCACGCTCGACGAACGAACCGGATTGACTGACGCTGAAGCCTGACTTTCAAGCAGGCTGTCGGAAATAGACTCGCGCGCTCCCATTAGCGGGGCTGCATGTTCGCCCCGTGGCATTGCATAAGCTCGGAATTGAAAATAGCCAAATAACCGTGACCTACGGAATTGAAATATTGCGGTTCGACGCGGCAGTGGCTACGGCGTCGCGACGATAAACGGCGACTGTCGCGCGACACACTGCTCATGCGAATAAAAACGCAATCGGCGCGCTCGCGTACTCCCTGAATTTCTCTGGGCAATATTCTGCGTAAAAAATGGAGTAACAACAACCGAGTCACTTAAATTTGCGAAGAACTTCATTTGAAGTGGACACATTTAAATAACAACTCATATAGAATAAATTCTCCATTTGGAATCGTCGATGGAATTTTTATTGGAAAACGCAGAATGAATCCGACGTGCTCCATCTCATTATAGAAACAAATTTATTCTAATCAATTGAAATATTCATTCGTACACGAAAGAAGAAAGTTTGAATTTACCTGACAAGAAACAAGTCAAATGCATTTGGGTTGAACAAAAAACAATTTCTGATTCTTATAAACCAAATTCGTTTCTTATAATTAGAAATTCTGTTTCATAAACGGATAACCTAAGTAAATTTAACTGAACTTTTTTCCCGTGTACAAGATAATTTTCATTCTAAGTGCGATGCAATTAATTAAAAATTTATTATTTAATTCATCAACAATTAGTGTCCCATTCATAAAATGTTTTCATTGAAGAAAATCTCACTTAATATATAATTTTATTTTTATATATTTATATTGTTTATATTATTATATTTTTATATATAAAATTTCCTGTTATATCTATTCTCTATCTTTCAATAATATAATTCAAGTTAAATATTCGCTCCTGTGATACGCCGAGTGACAGTATTTTCACTACCGTTAAGAATTTTCACTCGTTTTGAGTGAGATCTCACTGCCAAAATATTTACCGAGTACACTTTATTTTATGGATTAACCGCACGATCGACGGCGTAACATTGCGTTTTTAGCCGATTTACAGAGGCGAAATGGAATTCAGTGCGATTAAAAATATACTTTCGAGTTATCCCCAGAGAAACTCCATCGTGGAGAGTCATTTCCCGTTGAATATAAAAATGTAAACGTAAATTTTCCAAACTGTTACTTCCCGGCTTTATGCAATCGTAAATGCAACGGCGCAATTTGCCAGCATACTTACCTCTTTGCCTTTGGTTTCTCCCCTCTCGAACCATTCTACTGTTACGGTGCGCTGCTCTAAATTGACACCGGAGACGACTGCCGAGTGAACGCGACCTGAAACAAAAATTATATATCGCAATGTATAAGGACCGCGGTAATAATGTAGATATAATGATTACTCTCCGGCGAGTGTACGCGATGGGGAGCGTGCGTGCGCATTGACAGATATCTGATATGTAGACGGATATTTTCCGACACACACAAATTTATATATATATATATATATATATATATATATATATACGTATTATAACATGAAAATACAGGAAACAAACTGTCAGAAAAGCAAACGCGGAGAAGACAAAAGATAATTTTTTTTCCGCATAACGCGTGAACATTTGCACATAAAAAATTATTATTCGACTCACTGACAGTCTCATTTATAGAGGACTGTTCTATTTTACTGCATAAAAATTTACTAGATTTGTATACTGAAAGAGAAAAAGTGCCCCATTTCAAGTAAGTACTCGCTAAGGAGTATTGGAGTAATTATTTTACTTGAATTAAATTAATATTACTTGATACAAATATTCACTTGAATGTAGCACTTTTCTCTTTCAAAGTAATCTTCCTTTTGTTTCCAGCACCCAATTTCCGTTTGTATCCGTATCTCCGATAAAAATAACTGCAATATTGATCTAAGATTCGTAGAAAATTAGCAGACTGATCTTTCAATTAAAAAAACGCGCGCCAATGTACCGTTCTGCACAATTTCCGACTGATCGATCCCATCGTTTTTGGTGAAATTCGCCCCTCGGCGCAAAGGGGACGCGAGTCTCGGTATCAACGATCCTTCGGGCCGAGTCCTTCCTTTCCCGACGCGCTCTTCATCCGCCAGAGATCGAACCTCGAAACTGCACGAGTTCAATTTCCGCCGAATTTCGCTTTGCTCACGAAACAGCACTGCGGCTCCTTTAGGGTCGAATTTGACCGTCTCCTTGGGTCCTCGCGTCTCGTTATCTCCGCATGAGTTGCGCGACTCAACGCAGGTCCTTCCTTTGATCGGCGGCAAAACCTTCCTGAACTCCTTGGCTCTCGCCTTTTTCGACCTATCTTGCTTGTCGTTGGAAAAGTTGATCCTCGACGAGGTTCTCTCCATGAGCCTCCTGTCAAAGTTCTTCGTTGCGACGTTTACCTCCGGCTTGTCCTCGATCTCCAACGTCCAGGACAAGTTCTCCTGTTCGTCGGAGACCGCCGATCTCGAAGCAGACTCGTTCAGATCCTCCTCTTCCTCCTCATCTTCCTTGGCGCGTCCTTCCTCGCCCGCAGCGCACTTGACCCGCTTCTCGTTCTCGTCGGCGGTGCACATCGATGCATATCTCGAATGCAGCCCCGCGTCGTCATCATAATCGATACCATGTGTCTCCGTCAGCCCGGGCTCATCCATGCTCCTCGCCAAGTCTTCATGAAGCGAGTCCTCCTCGAGATCCTCGTAATCGTAGTTACCACGGGACCAAATGTCACTCAGCGGATCGTCGAACACCTTCGTCGCGTCCGTTCGAAGATTCACGTCGACCTGACTATTCGCGAGGTCGTCCGGGTAATTCACGGCGTCTCCATTCGCCAAAATCTTCTCCGCACTCTCCTTCTCAAGATTATGCTGCTGCAGGTCCTGTAATTTACGTGAGGATTCGTCGACGGAGGCCGACAACGGTGATTCTCTTTGCGATTCTTTGCGTTTCGCGAGCTTCTTCGATTTCTTGCCCTTTTTATTGCTCTCCCGCTTGTGATTTCCGTCTCTCTTGGTCTTCTCCTGGTCGTCGAGCTTGCTCTTCGTGCCGCAGACGCAGAGGGAGAGCCAACCCATATTGAATTCGTAGCTTTTAAGTCAACGGGGAACTTGGATTTCATGAGACGAGGTCACGTTACTCCGTCATTGACGGTAATTTCTCGACGCTCGTTTCATATACGATATTCCACTTGTCCTTCCGCTCGATCCCCGAGCCAACAGACTCTCTCGCGAATATCGCCGAATCCAAGGACTCCGGGCAATCTACTCGCGATCGATTCGCCGAGGAGCTTCCACGGGAACGTCCGGGTTTAGTCTGACGACGCTCGCTTCGTTTCGCGCCGCAGCGCGGAGAAAATTCGTCGAATTCTCGCCGGCCGCTCGGCTGCGATCTTAAAAAAGCGCTTGAGAGGCTTTTAGGGCCGAAAGGCGCGTTCACTTGGTCTCTTTTGCGCGGTCTTCGAAGTCTGAAGCACGATCGCCGATTATCCCCCGGGAACATACATCCTCGCTCGTTCGGCAAGTGCGCCCTCTCTTCGTGGTCCAAGAATAAATGCACTTTCGCGAAGAACACTCTCGGTCCGTTTGACTTATGGTGTTGACGAATAATACACACAGGTAACGTCCGCGGGTAAGTTAATTGAATACGGTTGCTCGTCCCATGAAACATTCGCGTCTCGATCGGACTCGTAAATTTTTATTTCCCAAGTACGCTCGTAAATCACACTCGGGCACCTCTGACGATAAATAACACCGCGAATACTCGCCCCGTTTTACGAAGGCATCATTCTCTACGAGAGTCCGCGCCAGGAATGGGAAAGAGGAGGAAGTAAAAACTTCACGTTATCGCGAAATTCCGAACTCCCTCGGTTGCCGAAATTTTAGTTCGCTCATCACACTTGATCGTCGGACTTGAAAAACGACCGGCCACACCGGTTGCAAATTACGCGACGCATCGGTGGGAAGGAGGAAAAGGAGGGGCGATTAATAAGGCGAAACTGGGACAAGCGACAATTAACGTCGCGAGAAGGTCCGCGCGTTCGCGAATTCGCGGTGTGTGTCGCGACTGGGAAAATCTCGTCGTCGGGGAAAATCGGGGAAGAGCGCTCGCGGAGACACGTAGGTCGGCGTCGTGAGCGACCTGATATCGTCGACTGACAATGTTCCGCCGAGCAGCGTTTCATACACGCATTTATTATGACGCCCGAGGAGTCATTTCAGACCGGCAGAGCGAGGCCCCCACCTCGGCTCATAAACAATTTCTCGGCTCGCCTCGATGAGCCCGTGCGTTATGCGCTATCGGTTACGAGACCGTCCGCCCGATGGGAGACGCACGCGGAATTATTCGGCCAGAAAGAAATACCGCTGCGAGACCCGATACCGCGCGTACCGCGGCCGTACTCGTTGCGTTAAAAAATCACGAGGTTCCCGATTGCAGGAAAGAGGAGAAGATTAGCCGAATTAGCCGGATAATTGCAGAGCTGGAGATCCAATCGCGATACGCGCTTAATTAACATCGCATTAGAGAAATCAGATAAAAAAGAATTGGGTCTCTCGAAGATTACGCAAATTTTCTTGCACAACTTGCAATCGACACGAACTGAATAAAAACCGCGTCCGGTCGATAATTTAAACTGTGAAATGTAGAACTCGGAAAGAGTGGGTTCATTTAAGGATGTATTGCCCGTTAGTGCCGTATTCTCCGTGGCGCACCAAGGGGACCGCTCATAAATTTATCAAGTAAAAGAAATTACGTTCCTATATTTTCGTTTCACCAAGTCATAAATGTTAATTTAAAACGAAGTTGAGATAGACATGTTATGCACGGTATTACAAATACAAAGATATTATTTTCTCTCATTATGCCATATTTATGCATCGGTCGATCTAACAGAGATGTACAGATAATAGAAAGAGGTGTATAAGTGTTTAAATGTGTGCGTATGTACATATTACCATAAGTTACGAACTTTATACTGCTTTATCTTCAAAACAAAACGGTCAATAATTCTGAAATTTGTATATAATGACTGCATATTAGTCTTTAATACTATAGTAATTGTTCATTAAAACATTATCTTTAGTTTATAAAATATTAAAAATATAAATTCAAAACAGCACGCTAATTTCAAGGAACGCATATAAAAAGTGTCCATTTTAGTTACCAAAATCTCAGCTCTCGAGTGATTAATTTTTTTTTTAATTACACAAAAAATGAGCTAGATAATTCTTCAATATACGCAATGAAAGTTTCATAGAATTCTTATCAAATTCATTTCATCTTACAACCTCCCTGAAAATGGAAATCCTCTAAAGTGTAGTAACTTTTGATCCAGACTCTGAATTATTGTCCAACTTTTGGTATCACTTTCAAAGATAATGTAGATCAATTTGTAATTTTTTCATTATTCTTTTAGTTATCGGTGATTACATCCTTAACTCGTCTCGGACTGCTTCGATCGATTTTTTGTTCCATAATATGCAAAACTACACAAATATATATACATGCAAACAGATTCACAGAAACGTTGAATAAACTTGAATGAAAAAATCTCCAGGAAGGGAGAACCGCGTCCGCAGTTGACTTGACATTCTAACTACATCCGATTGTCGTCGCGGCGGCCCCGCGAAGGTTAATGTCGCGCGATCGTCGCTCGGTTCTCGCGGCACCAACGGCGCACGAATGTCACGTTGAAGAATCGATACGCAGTGGCGGTGGTATATCGTCCTGGCGGGCGGCCGCGCGCGCGGCAAATAATGCACGAGTTATTTCGGGATGAAAGCAATATGGCCTAAAGTCGCGAGCGGAATCGCGGGCCCCGTGCACGCCGATGGTCGAGGGTGAACTGACGTCGTCGCGGCGACCGATTCGAGCCGTCGATTACGCGCGCAGACGATAATGAGGAAGCATTAACGGGACCTCGTTAACGATCGGACGGTGCGAATTTTCGCGACTGGCTTTCCCGGGTCGACGTGTGCAACACATCCGTAAATGACTCGACGATCGTGTCGATGGGAAGTCGCGAGAAATCGCGGATTCGGGGCGAGCACGAGTTATACACGGCTTCCCGCGAGAACGGCCAGCGGCGAGGACGCACGTCGAGCGGGAGACTCGATCGATCGCCACTGTCGTCGTAGCGATCTCTCGTCTATGGGATATGTAACACTGAACTCATTTAGCATTCACGATATGCGACTCCGAGCCTCCCGATGCGTGACCACGCGGCACCAGCCCATATTTATTTACAGTGTACTCGGAAGTCGAGCCTTGCCTACACATGCAAACGATCCGCGCCGCGGAAATGCGCGCGGCGCCGCCGTATGTGCCTCTCTTCGACAGGTAGTCAATCGCCGCCGCGCTTCTTCCTCGCCACGCCTACAAAACGCCGCCTCGCTCAGTTTTGCTTTTTGTCGAATTTAATCGAATTTCACGTCCTCGTACGGCGCTAATTGTCACAAATTAACGCCGTAATAAACCGTGCTCGAGAGAGACACTCGTTGGTTCTATCTTAGCTCCGCGTGGCCAACTGTTGCGTTAAAAAAAAGAACATCGATTTTTTGGTATTGTCAAAATTAATTTGTCAAATGATTATCACGATCAATCTGTGGTTATTATATCTGAGTTACTAACGGTAATGTGCCAATAAAATTAACTGGTAAGCGGATGGAAAACAATCCAGGCTGTTTTGAACAAAAATTAGGAAACTTTAAGAATTCAACGACTCGTTCGAGGAAAAGCACAACGGTTAGCGATTAAATGGCCCCGAAATGCGTTTCAATCCAAACTGAAATGCATTTCGGCCGCATCCCGATTAAAACGAGACATTAAAACGCTCGGGTTCGGGGGTCCAGCCGCACGGTCTATTGAACATTAAATTTAAGCAGCGGCTTCCTGTCACAGATCCGTCGTGTGTGTAAAGTGTGTATGGAGGATGTTGTGTTACATTACGTCGGTACACAAAGTAAGCTCGAAATCGGACAACCATATTATACATGCAAACCGATGCGGCTCATTGTGACGTGCCTCGATTATCGCCACGAGAAAGCGTCGAGGGAAATAAAACTGAAAAGCCAGTCGCGTAAACGTCACGTCCAGCGCTTTGTTCGCGATACCGTCATTAGTCGTTAAATGAAGAAGCATATAAAATTGATTCTCAAATTTTACGAAAAATCAAAGGAGAGTTTCCCTAAACGACTTCGGAAATACAAACGAGCGACAGTCTCCAAAAAAAAAAAAAAAAAACGAAGCTACTGGACGAGATTAAAATCCAATCGGTGTTTTTTCGAAATGGGAATTAACTTCACCTCGGACGCGTTCGTGTCGAATGTCCCTTCACTCGTCGTGTCCCCGGGTGATCGCGTTTAATTGAATTCTGTACAGAGAACACGAGGAGAGCGCGAAACACGTATCGCTGCGGGCTCGTGAATGGGAAGAAGGAACGAACGAGTCTCGCGTTAGCAACTCTTTAGTTGCCAACAGTTCCACGGAGAACCGCCACTTGCGAGGGGACTCGGGCTTGTTACCGACCAGACGAAGTCGAGCTTGAACACCGAGTTCTTCGGGTTACCAACAGCACCGGCCAACAGCTGGTGACTGTCGAGCGAAGGTTGGGTCGGATTACACCGCCCGGATGTATCGCGTGTATACGTGCGCATATATGTGCGCATTGCACACCTGCATGTGGAAACGTGTTCAGAGGCGCCAACCAAGTCCAATTTGCCCAAGACAAATTGGATTTCGCGCGGATCACATCACGACAGGACTCCGCCAACGTTACATACGGGTCGCTTACGTGGAAATTAATCGGATACCTCAAATTCTTAAAAGCATCTCGACCAATAAATGCAACGTCGCTTGAATTATTACTAACCCTGATCGTTTCTGAATCGGAGACCTGAATGTCCGATTTCGAATTAGAGATTTGTATCGAAGGTGGAGTAGATATAATCGAAGGAGTAGCTAGGGAACGTCGGAAGACACAGTGCTTTCGTATTGTAGGAGAAAATGAATTGTCGTTACGCTCTTCATGCGTGTGCCGTTGGGGAACTTTCGTCACCTCGCAAATAACGAATTGACTCGTTTCATCCGGCTGACAAATTAATTTTTGCAACGACAAATTAATCTTTGGTATACAATCGTGACAGAGAATAAGAAAATTTGGTGTTAAAAAACGGTTCACTGAAATTTTTCTTGTTACTTTAACAAAGGAAATATGTTAAAAAAACACATAAATATATGTTAAATTAACATATTCACCTTGTTAAAGTAATAGAAAAATTGTTGTGGGTCATTGGTAACACAAAATTGTTTATTGTGTATTAATTAAAGAATTAATTTATTCTCTTAAATCAAAAGGAAAATTATAAAATATTAATTTTTACAAATAGAATCACATTTAAAAAGGAAACTCGAACATTAAATATGGATCTAACGGACGATATATTGAGCGTTAATTAAGGAAGCGGTAAAAGCTCGCAAAAATTTGTGAGATTTGTAGTCATGTTTCTTTTATTAATAGGTAATTATCTAATTCCGCATCTGTTAGATGATTCATTTTTCGAGCCAATGAAATCATCGAAGATCCAATGGACTTTTGCAAGCCCCCGATAGAATATGCGATGTCTTCATCTCACAGTCTCATGGAATAATTAAATTCGTCCTGTTAAGTCCGGACCATTCAACTCAACGTCAAGCTCAACTCTCGTCGCCCGCGAAGAAGAGAGATTCGCCGATGACGTAAAGTCCAAAGTACGTCACACCCCGCGTTTAGCGTTAAACGCTTACGGCCCGATTACGGCCGTCGCGCTCTGAAATCCGCAGTCTGCAACAAATGTTACCGGCACCTTTGCACACAGCTGCAGAATCGTACATATGTGCCATCCACCTTCGTGTACAGGTTTTAAAAATGGCCCGTGCAGGAGAGCGGGTGGAGGCGAGATCGCACGTGAAGACGGCACGTGAGTGGGCGCTCGCGCTACGTGATACGCGTGTTAGTTCAGATTTATGTGCTTCTCGATCGAGCCCGACTGACCTGTTGAACCAAATCCGATATACAAAATTTGACAGTCATTATCATGTCGCTCGATGTAACGTGGAACGGTAAACGGTAACAGTATTACTCGCACAAAAAAGCAGATAGCCACTCCCATGCAGCAATTAGAATTTTATCTATGGCGAACGATGCTTTTCCCGTAACCGCGCCATTATCATCGCGACTTTCGAGCGACGTTTCCCGATACTTGTAATGTATACGTGCTCAAAATACTTTCGTATTTCTCGGAGACACCAGGCACTTTGGTGTGACGTCCCCGGGCTTCTCGCAAAACCGATAAAGACAAGCGTCGAATCGAGGCACGTCTTTTGGCGAAGCTCCAAGAGCCGAACTTCCCTCGTTTTACCACGCGATGATCTATGACAATCGATCTCCGCTATATTTTATATCCCGATACCAGTGCATGTCGCAAGCTTTGGTCGCCGGATAGATGCAATTTTCCTATTTTCATATTTTCCATTCTCGGAACGGGAATATTTTATTTTCCGGAGGTGAAATGGGACGTCCCGCGGTTGGCACACGTAATACGTGCAATCGAACTTCCTCCCTTTACTTCTTTTTTCACATATTATTATCCTTTTTTCTATAATTCTTTTCTTTTTTTTCTTACTTTAGTATGGTATTTTTGAAGATTATACAATCAATTACTAATATAATATAAAATGTAATGTACAAAATAAATAAAAATAAAATAAAATTATATATAAATAAGAAATATCACAAAAGCTATTTATTAATTAACCAAGTTGAGTAGAAAATCAGAGCAATAAGGCTTGCATTAATAATCGTTATTTGAAACTTGTCTCAAATGAGATACTCAGGTTTGA